GTGTGTGTGTGTGTGTGTGTGTGTGTGTGTGTGTGTGTGTGTGTGTGTGTGTGTGTGTGTGTGTGTGTGTGTGTGTGTGTGTGTGTGTGTGTGTGTGTGTGTGTGTGTGTGTGTGTGTGTGGGTTTCTGTAATAAAAATGCGAAATGTAATTAAAATATTTGGGAAATGTTATTATGGGTGTGTGCTGCAAGAGTTCAACTTTAATGATGTGACGCTCAGGAGGAAAAACAATGGAGATGTGTGGGAGGGAGGGGAGGGAGAGGAAGTGAGCATGTGGACGGAAAAACATGGCAGCAACGTAACATTTATCTCAAACCATGTTCATGTAATGCTGTAATGTCATTCTCTGACAGCTTCTACTTCTATATACTATATAAAGTGACCACAAATTGGACCTATGATACATAGAACAGTACGCTTATAAAACAATACAACATTACCATACAAATACAAATACAATGCGGTCAAGGCAGTACCAACAAATGTGAACAAGTCAATAAATAAGTTATTGTGCATGTGTTTGTCAGTGCAGTTGATAATTACAAATCTAGAAATAAATATGTTATATAAAAACGGTATGAGCTATATAACACACTGTAGGACAGGGGCAACCTTAAAACGCATAATAGGGCCTCTTTAAATGACAGAATACTATAGAAACTACTGAGTTACAAGTTCTCCGTTGAAAGTCAGACTTTAATAAATCTACAAAAGTATTAACTTTACTCGTAGACCGTATGGGACGTCCGCCTGGATAAAATAATCTCCGGAATGAGAAGAAGTGTAAGAGAGGAACTACATCGAGATAGAGAGAGGATGTAGAAGTGCAGAATAATGAGAGTGAAAGTTATGAGAGAGAGAGAGAGGAGAAAGGTGAGACAGAGGTGAGAGAAAAGGGAGGGAGGAGGCGTGAGTTTGCATAAAGAGGAGAGGGAAGAAGAGTGATAGAGGACGAAAAAGGAAAAGTGTGTGTGTGTGTGTGTGTGTGTGTGTGTGTGTGTGTGTGTGTGTGTGTGTGTGTGTGTGTGTGTGTGTGTGTGTGTGTGTGTGTGTCCAGAGAAGGAAACAGCCTCACAATTCAAGACAAAAGCTTGTAATGAATCACCTCTCTCTCTCTCTCTCTCTCTCTCTCTCTCTCTCTCTCTCTCTCTCTCTCTCTCTCTCTCTCTCTCTCTTTCCTGTAAGCAGGGAACAGCAGCTCCTTCACTCACAGCTGCATCAACAACAACAACAACAACAACTTTAGACAAAAATAAATAACGTACTCACAAATATCCTCTAACGCAGCGGTTCCCAACATTTGTCAACTCAGGGCCCACATGAGAATCACATTTTTTTTCACGGCCCACATTCAACCATAAACAATTCAGAGCATGTGACACGTTGTTAATCCAGTAGAACAGACCGCTGTCAAGGACTGTAATGACCGTTGCTAAGGACTGTAATGACCGTTGCTAAGGACTGTAATGACTGTTGCTAAGGACTGTAATGACCGTTGCTAAGGACTGTAATGACCGCTGTCAAGGACTGTAATGACCGTTGCTAAGGACTGTAATGACCGTTGCTAAGGACTGTAATGACTGTTGCTAAGGACTGTAATGACCGTTGCTAAGGACTGTAATGACCGTTACTCAGGACTGTAATGACCGTTGCTAAGGACTGTAATGACCGTTGCTAAGGAGGATCAAGAAAGAGAAAGGAAAAGAGGTTCAAATAAAAAAAAATCTTAATAATGAAAATGTTTCCACACAAATCATAATGTTTTGCAAATGATTTGGCGGCAAATATTGAATTTACATTTACACCCTTTAATATGTTATTTGGGCTTTTCGATGAAGACTGCACACGGTTAATAAATACAACTATTCTTCTGGCTAAAATACATATTTTTAAAAGTCAGTCAAGGAGTAATCTTAATTTAAGGTGTTTGAAGAGTAGATTTAAAATACAATTTATTTTGGAAAAGGCTCATCACGCCATGAAATGGGAAATAATGAGCTCTAAGGAAGAGTGGGATTTAAGGAACAATAAATATGCCATTTTGTGTTTTTGGTGGTTTTTGGTTGAAATGTTGAAGTGATCCTACTGACTATCTTTATTTCTTCTGTTTCTGTTTTGTTTCTGTCTGAGATGGGAATGTCATCTCCTCTATGTTATTGTCATGTCCATGCTTGAGTCTTTAGCGTGTAAAAAAAAAAATAATAATTATGTGGCGGCCCACTTGCAATGCCTTCACAGACCACTAGGGGGCCGCGGCCAGGGGAGGACTGGGACTACAAATCAGCCCGGGACTCTCGACCGGCCCATTTCGGTACCGCCGGCCCACCTCGGTACCGCAAGTAATTACCGCTAGTACATTGTCAACGGGGGGGGGGGGTGCTAGACCTTATCCGAGCGGCCCACATCGTCCGACCGGCCCACTTCAGTACCGGCCCATCGGGATTCGTCCCGAACGTCCCGATGGCCAGTCCGCCCCTGGCCGCGGCCCACAGGTTGGGAACCACTGATCTAATGGCTAGAGTTGAGGACCACCAGATTTCAGTTTCATCCTGTTACACCGTGGCCACCGGTTCTCACTTATTGGGAGGTGGGAGAGCGGACTGGACATTTCCAGATGGTCTTTCTGATCCGTCCTTCCGTCAAACATTTGTTTTTGTTTCATTGTCAACTTTAGTTTTGTTCGCCTGCCGTCAACACTACCAGTTACCAGCTGTAAAATAGCAAATAGGAATGAGTTGACGGGGGAATGGACCGATCGGAAAGTAATGGAAGAGCAGAGAGTGGTTGGAGTCCGCAACACACCTTCTTGTAACACAGAGCACACACATAACAACATATTCAGGCTGTCCAACAACATCCTGTCTGAACCAAGCATGTCCTGAACAGTGATTATGAATTGTTCCATCATATCAGAGATACAGGGTCCCACGATTGAATAAAGTCAGACTGAAGCACTGTTTTATGCACCGGTCAATCCTCGGTTTGAATTCAGAGCTAAATCCCAGGTCAAATGTACGTTAGAGGGTCTCTATCATGTGTTCTCTATCATGTGTTCTCTATCATGTGTTCTCTATCATGTGTTCTCTTCAGTGATTGTGATGTTTTTTTTTAATGTTTTTTCCCCTGCATCTTGTCTTAGATATTTGTCTTAGTCTGATGTTGCAAATGGAGCTGCTGTGAAGCAAGAAAAATGTCAGACTCGATCTGACAATAAAGTATTATCGCATAGTATCGTAGCCCGTCTCTTCAAGCATGCTTTGAGGGTGTGTGCTTTATGCTGGGTTATGATAACTCATAGGGTTAATTCATGGATATATTGATGGCCTATACTCGTTATCTAGCCGCTTCATTTTGATCTCAAAGTGCATCAGATAGCAGCATTTAAATTTAAATGCTAAATGTATCTTACATTTTCCCATATAGGCTGAACTATTTATATGAATGTTCGTATTGTGATATATATTGCAGCAAAGGACATATTTTTCTAATATGTTGCAGCCTTAAATCAGAGGCTACACAGGATGGTATCACAACGTGGAATTCAAAGCAGTGCTCGGCTTAATTTAATAGTGGAAGAACTAATAAAGTGCATGTGGAAGTTTTGGATACTTTTGATATCCTTGATACTTGAATACCAGATCATCATTTGAGCATTTGAACTGTGTCTCATTCTCTTTTGTGTGTCTCTTACATATGTATGTGCTATGATGGTGGTTTAATTAGTGAGTTTCTGAGGGTTCACAATTACCCTTGAAAACTCTTAGTTATCAGACTGACTAGTTGTTGGTCGGTCTAAAAAGTTTGTATGTTTTATCTTGATAACTTTCCTCGCAGATGAACATGGTGGCCAAATGCATAACAAGAAGGTTACTAGTACCATCAACAAATAAGGTTTGCCTATCAAATCAGTGGACTACACTGAGATGGAGCCAAACTCCTGGCCAACATGGCAGGTGGCCTATGTATTATTTTCTTGCTGTTAAAAATAGCTTTAAGTATCTTGTCGTACACAGTGAGTGTGTGTAACCAATAGATATGAATCAGTCACACAGCTCTGTGAGGCTGTACTTCCATATCTCAGTGATCTGTGTTTGAGGACACGACGTGTCTTTGGCTCCATTTCCTCTCACATTTCCCCAAAAGATGTGACACCGGCACAAACTGTACCGTATATTTAACTGTTTCTCAGTTTTCTGCTCTTAGTTGAATTGGTCCAAATCCTGACTCATAACTGCAGCTTTAAAAGTACATGTGCTATTCCCTCAGGCTAGTACCAAGTCTTTCCTGTTGATGGATTATAATGAAATCTAACACAGAGGATTGACATTCATATATATCACAAATATGAAGCTCCTAAATAGTTCAATCTGATCTGATGGAAAATATTGAAATGTATTAAATAAAAAGACCAAAAGTAGAATATATCTATCAGACCTTCCCTCTCATCCATGTTTTCGTAACATCCCGACTGGATTACTGCAACAGCATTCTCTATGATTCACCTACATCCTCAATGAACTACAATATGTCCAAAACTCCGCTGCCCGCATGCTCACCTCCACCTGACGCTCCGACCACATCACCCCTATCCTCCAGGACCTCCACTGGCTCCCCACCAAACACCGCATTGACTTCAAAATATTACTACTCACCCCCTACCTCAGTGACCTCATTCAACCAAACTCTGGTCATCAACCCCGCCCACTTTACTCACACTTGGATTAGGACTACTGTTTCTGTTTTTTGTTTTCTTTGGACTGTTTCTGTTTCTGTGTTTATGCCAAAAGCGGATAGCGCGATAAAATTAAATGTACTATTATTATGTATATCGGTGACACACTCACTGTGTATGACACAATACTTAAAGCTTTAAAGCAATACAGTTTTAAATATGTATTCATACAATAATGGAGAATGGAGAGAAAGGCATGGGAGGGTTAGGGTTGTGAATATGTGTCACTGTAGCTCCAGTTGACTGCCTGAACTAGCTCACAGTATTAGTTCAAATATTTCATCTTTAGAGCGTGAAGGAAGGTAGAATTAGAGGTGACAATCAAAACAAATGGACTTATATTATATACAAACAGTTTTAGGTGACAGTATTGAACAGAGAACAGAAAAGAGAGCATTAAATATTTCAAAGTTATATTCCAAAAAAGAATATGGAAGAACAGAACATGCTTTAAGTCATGGTGTAAAAACATGGTTATTGAACTGCATTGGAATGGTTCAAAGGGGTTATTGCTAATTAATATATATATATATATATATATATATATATATATATATATATATATATATATATATATATATATATATATATAAATGAAAATGTATATCTCTCTCTGTCTTTGTGTGTGTATTTTCTGATGAAATTCAGATGTTTTATTATGAACACTCGTGAGTGTTGTGCAAACTCTGACACAACTTCATAAGATCTGTATCAACCCTCAGCCTCAGCGTCTCATTGGTGGACCGACACATGTGACATCTTTATTTCATCATCAGTGGAAACTTTGAAGGGTTAGGGTTATCAAGTCATCTTTGGGTTTTTGACTGAGCCACGCTATACTTACTTACTTTCCCTGAATGTGTACTTCTCTATATTGTTATTTCCTTTTATTTTAAATACTATGAGCATGCACCAAAGTGTGTGGATGTTAGTTTCTCTGAGCAGCTTGCACCTTGCATGGCAGCTTCTGCCTCTCTAGGAATGGCTGTAAATGTGTTAATGCTGCTCTGAGAGGGTGCAGACTGGATAAGCGTTATAGAAATGCAGTCCATTTACCATGTTTTTACACCTTGACCTATAACTATGATCTGTTCTGACTTTCTGGCAGGTGGCCTGTGCATTATTAACCTGCTGTATTTCATTAAAGCATCATTAAAAACAATAGTGTTACGTGCCGTGTTGTGTGTGTGTGTGTGTGTGTGTGTGTGTGTGTGTGTGTGTGTGTGTGTGTGTGTGTGTGTGTGTGTGTGTGTGTGTGTGTGTGTCTCTCCCTCTCCCCCTGATGGTCTCCCTCCAGGTGCAGCCTCTCCCTCAGGTGCTCCCAATCCCCAATCAGGGCCTCCATAAAGGACCTGAGGAAGGCTGCAGGCTCTGGCCGTTTCTCAATGTCGAGTATACCTGCTGCAGAGCCACTATTTCACGTACGTCATTGAGTGGCGCCGAATGCTGGGCATTTAACATGCATTTAAACAGTCCTTCGGCGCCACTCGATGACGTAGTATACTTGAAATAGTGGTTCTGCAGCAGGTTTACTCGACATTGAGAAACGGCCCGTCTCTCCTCCTCCTCCGGCTGTGTGTGCAGCATGTGTAGTGTAGTGTAGTGTAGTGTGGTGTCTCTGTCTCTGTGTGAGGCCTACTAGTTTAACCTGTGTTTTGTTAATTGTTAGATGTGCTCCAGTGTATCTTTGTGTATTGTTTTTACTTTGGTCACTTTCTTTTAGGAGAAAGTTGTTCTTAGTTTACCTTAAGTTTACTTCATCTTGTGGCTTCAGCAATCAGTTTCCTCTTTTCTCTCTCTCTCTCTCCCGGTTATTTGATATGTTGTTACTCCCCTTTGTACCCCTAGTCCAGGAGGGAACGTAACAAATAGCAACAGTGGAGCTTTAAGTGTCTTATTGTATATAGTGAGTGCGTGTAACCAATAGATATGAATCAGAGTCACCAGTGCTATAACTCTGTGAGGCTGGACTTCCATATCTCAGTGATCTGTGTTTGAGGACAGCCTCAGTGCTTTTGGCTCCTCTCACTTTTCCCCGAAAGACGTCCTGAAACCACCAAAAACTCCCCGAAGTGAACCAACCCTTTAAAACCTTGAGGATGACATTCCTTTTGCTCCAAATTACACATTTCTTCAATTCAATAACTTTGTGAATGAAATGTTTTAATATACGTTTAAATATGAAAAGCTCTCTTTGAAATAATAACATTGTATTATTATAATTATTATAATCAGAAATCACTGTGACTACCCGATCCGCAGTGCGCACGTGCGAGATGGTCCGCCATATTGGACAACTCCATACGGCAACCCAAATAGGACATTTGACGTCTAGACGGCTGCCCGATTTGTATTGCGCATGCGCGAGTCATAAACGACTCAAATATCTATACAAAAATATTTTATGTAATTTTATTTAATTTGAAATAAATTGAAAGATATTCACAGTTAATGTAATTATATATAAATGATTAATTCCATACATATTGCATACATTCACACAGTCAATATTTCTTCAGTATGATAGCTGTCTAACAGAAGTAAAATCCATTTCTCACTTATTCTAAGAATGTACTTAACCCACTAAAAGGACCCACTAAAAGGAGTTGTTAAATAATAGTGAAGTCACGTTGTAATAACAATAACTCATCTCTCTCGTTCAGATTAATGTTGTCGGGTTTTTTGAGTTTTCTTTTTTTGCTTTGCCAAACGCCACTGTGTCAAGTGTCCTATTTGGGTTGCCGTATGTAGCTGTCCAATATGGTGGACCATCTCGCACATGCGCAATGCGGATCAGGTAGGGATGCGCGGATCGGGTAGGGATGCGGATTGGGTAGGGATGCGGATCGGGGGATGCGGATCGGGTAGGGATGCGGATCGGGTAGGGATGAGGATCGGGTAGGGATGAGGATCGGGTAGGGATGAGGATCGGGTAGGGATGAGGATCGGGTAGGGATGCGGATCGGGTAGGGATGAGGATCGGGTAGGGATGAGGATCGGGTAGGGATGAGGATCGGGTAGGGATGTGGATCGGGTAGGGATGTGGATCGGGTAGGGATGCAGATCGGGTAGGGATGTGGATCGGGTAGGGATGCAGATCGGGTAGGGATGAGGATCGGGTAGGGATGAGGATCGGGTAGGGATGAGGATCGGGTAGGGATGCGGATCGGGTAGGGATGAGGATCGGGTAGGGATGAGGATCGGGTAGGGATGAGGATCGGGTAGGGATGTGGATCGGGTAGGGATGAGGATCGGGTAGGGATGTGGATCGGGTAGGGATGTGGATCAGGTAGGGATGCGGATCGGGTAGGGATGAGGATCGGGTAGGGATGCGCGGATCGGGTAGGATGCGGATTGGTAGGGATGCGGATCGGGTAGGGATGCGGATCGGGTAGGGATGAGGATCGGGTAGGGATGCAGATCGGGTAAGGGATGCGATCGGGTAGGGATGTGGATCGGGTAGGGAGATCGGGTACGGGTAGGGATGAGGATCGGTAGGGATGGCAGAATCGGGTAGGGATGATGGATCGGGTAGGGATGTGGATCGGGTAGGGGATGAGGATCGGGTAGGGATGAGGATCGGGTAGGGATGCAGATCGGGTAGGGATGAGGATCGGGTAGGGATGTGGATCGGGTAGGGATGAGGATCGGGTAGGGATGAGGATCGGGTAGGGATGAGGATCGGGTAGGGATGCGGATCGGGTAGGGATGTGGATCGGGTAGGGAGATGAGGATCGGGGTAGGGATGCGGATCGGGTAGGGATGTGGATCGGGTAGGGATGCAGATCGGGTAGGGATGCGGATCGGGTAGGGATGTGGATCGGGTAGGGGATGCGGATCGGGTAGGGATGCGGATCGGGTAGGGATGAGGATCGGGTAGGGATGCAGATCGGGTAGGGATGTGGATCGGGTAGGGATGAGGATCGGGTAGGGATGCGGATCGGGTAGGGATGTGGATCGGGTAGGGATGTGGATCGGGTAGGGATGTGGATCGGGTAGGGATGTGGATCGGGTTGTCACAATCACAATCAAAACAGCAAGAACTGGCTTCCAGGTTTTATTGGTTATTTGTAAGCTTTATTATACAGATACTTGATTACTGATAGATATACACCAAGGTATGAGAACAGTTTATATAACACTGCAAGATACAACAAAATAAATGCATACAATCTAATAATAATCTAACATTTTTACATTTAATGAAATCACAATCATTTGATTTGAAATAAAACATGAGTATAATAACACACAATTAAAAACAAGTGAATTAAAAACATTTAATGTAAAAGCGATGGTTAATGGTTGACTGACTTTTTAACTATCTATATAAAAACACGGTGCAGCCCAAAGCAGTGATCCTATAATCACATGTCTCTACAAGAATAGCAAGATATATATATACATATATATACACATATATTTACAATATAAAATAATATCTTCATACAAAACTAAATATATGTTTATAATAATAATAATAATAATAATAATAATAATAATAATAATAATAATAATAATAATAATAATAATAATAATAATAATAATAATAATAATAATAATAATAATAATAATAATAGTAATAATAATAATAAAGAATAGGTACTTTCAATATTCAAATCCTTTTTTTTCAGTATTATTGAGTATTTATATTTGTGGGTATATATATACTATCTTAAGTGTCATCTTTTGTAATTTTAAATTATACATTTTAAATG